GTGTCATGTCGGTCTTATGCACACCCCTTCAAGTAAAGTGTTACCATACTTTCATTATCTGAACCAGCTTATCTGGTATGGTTTATCAACTTAACAATGGTTCACAATAAAGGACACAGAGTGTATATAAGTATAAAATCATTTTAGAAAAGAAAACTAAAAGCGAATTGGCATGTCTTTAGCCTTTTAGAGTTACAGATCCTATAAAAATCACAGTTATATAGCAGGACCCTGAGAAAAATGCTTTCTTAATTGAAACGATACAGCTCCGCTGTGTGTAGACAATTCATTTCAGTTTTTTCTATATATAAGAGACTTCTTTCAAAAACATAAACATCTTAATGATTCCAAACTTTTGACTAAGTTGTTTGGTGTATACATATTTCAATTTAGAGGTTAATCATCTGATCGTCACCAACATCATTTTACATGAAATTTAAAGGTGTATTTTTCCTCATTATGTATTTGTTTAACAAATAATCCACATAAAGAGATGGATTATACTTAATAAAACTCTGTTTAAAATCTCACACGAGACTAAGGCTCCAGTCATATCAGTAGCATAATAAAAGCTGTTATATTTTACATGGAGCAGGTCCAATAATCACATGACCAGCTGAATACTAGTTTTATCTCACTAACACAGCTGTTATCCGACACCTTCGCTAATGGAATAACTAAGTCAAGTGAATTTCTACAACAGAATCAGTGAGATTCAAGAGCCTTTGCTTTTACGTGATGCTGCAACTACGCCACTAGGTATCAGTATAAGACGTCTGCCACGTCAGTCAACACAAATACAAACATAACCTGAACGGGTGCACCTTTAAAATATTGAAATATAATTTTTAACGTAATACAATTCCATTAAAGACATGGAAAATCGTAATGCAATTCCAACTAACAATTTTCTATCATAGCATGTAAATAAAAAAAATAATAACTGTAATTCCATCTGTATTTTTAAGGCCCCAAAAGTCCTACAAAAACAAAGGCACTTTCGCATAAATCA